GGGGGGTGGGGGGGGTGGGTAATCGCTTAAACCCTGGGATTGTTTGTGAAATACAATAAATGCGAGTAATGAACTCTTTATTAGATAATCTTCATTCGTGCTCCCATTTCATTGGAGGGAGGAGGAGGGTTAGGTCATTCAGATTCTTGAATAGTTAAGTCATTGATAATGAGTATAGATACAAGAGAAGGGAATAGGGTAGTGAGATGAAATTAACTTCAAATTTGTGTCGAAGTTGACGGTATCCTTCGACTCATGCTACTTGATCTTTTGTGTTTCCCTTCAGTAATGGTTAATTGGGAAGAGTCGTTGGATCTGTTTTCACTGACTGAGGATCTTCTCTTTAGTGGGAGTGTTTGATACACACTTTGAGATAAATCACCAGGTCTCAGAATGGCATAGAGGATTGTATCTTTCCGTCTCGATGTATTTGCCACTTCAGAGATAGAGTTGGCAGAAAGATTTGCGTGCTGTGTGAATGGATAGAGAATTGGTCGGAGGAAGGTAGGCTGGTAGCCAATTATTGGCCCGTATTTTGTAGGTCGTGGAGGTAACGCAGGCCCGTTAGGTTCATCATATCGGCCAGGCGCCTCGTAGATTTGATTTGAGGTAATTTGTGTTGAGAAGGCACGACTAGTGGGTACCTCACAGTAACGCTGTTGATGATAGACTGACGGTTGTTCCATAGTCTTTAGTTTAGCGTTCACTCCTTTGTATTTAGGGTAGTTTGAATGTTTTGATAGTGTGCAGTCTTTAGAGTTCATTGGGTTGAGCGATTCGTACGCAGACCAGATTGTCGATGTTTCGGATGCATACCCGTTGGGGTCTTCCTCTATCTTTGGAGGGAAGTTTGGAGATGAGGAAAACCTCTTCTGAGATTGCCTCTTTTCCCTTCGCCAAAGACAAGCAGCCATGAAGAGACAGACAGCAACTGCCAGAACGACACCAGATAGGGCAATAGCGACTGGAATGCCAATTGTTAGGCCAAGGAAAGATGGCTGAAAATGAACCATAACAATGCTCCTCTTGTCAGAAGTCATTGGCTCTGCTGAGGTCAGAGAAGACAAGTTCTCGCCTGAAGTTGGATTGATCTGTCTCTGTAATGCGCTTGCGAGAGTGGATGAGCATTTATAGGAACCATCTTTTGCTTGGTAGCAAGAAGAATCCTTAGGACAAAGTCCAGGAGGGCATTCAACAACTCGATTCTCACACCAGATTCCGAAAAATCCAACTGGGCAAATACAACGATAGCTGCTGATGAGGTCTTCACAAAATGCACCATGTTGGCAAGGTTTCGAAGCACAGTCATCAATGTTTATCTCACAGTTGTCACCAGTATAGCCTGGAGGACAGGAGCAGTAGAACTGACGGCCATTCTTGGGCCTTGAAAGGGGGTGGCAAACTGAATTCGGGGCTCGGCAAGGGTTCTCTGAACAAATTGTTTGATTGAATTCACATAGTATTCCGTAGTAGCCTTTCGGACAAATGCAACGGCTCTATAAATGAAAGATCAAAAGTCAGTCTACTGACAGCAATTTAAGTAGATATAATTGATATTATCAAGTACTCACCTGCCCATCCATATGCTGAGTGCATTGACCACCATTTTTGCAGCCATGAACAACACAGTCAAACTGCATCATCTCACAGTGGTCACCGCGAAAACCAGGAGGGCAGACACAGCGATAGGGCTGACCATTAGGGCTTCGGACATTCTCGCATTTGCCGTTATTCTTGCAAACATCTTTGTTGTTTTTACAGAACTGCAAATCGATATCACAAAGCATACCACCCCATCCTTCCTCACAAGCACACGTGAATGGTAAGGTTTTGTTTGATTTCGGATCCAGTGCACATTTCCCGTGTTTACAACCGGGATACACTTTACACTCCGAGCAATCTACCCCGGTCCAACCTTGATGACATTTACAGGTGTCTGGTTCAACACAATCACCATTTCGGCAACCACTTGAGCAAATCGCTGCAATTCACAAAGAGAATTTTCGGTAATAAATATGATAAAATTGCATGTATTAAGGTTTAAAGGTGGTGGTTACTTACGTATGTCGCAGTGTTCACCCTCATATCCCTCAGGACACTGTGGTACCTCATTTTCACAGTTCTCCTGACTACCCTCAGGATCACAAGTAGTATTACACAACTGGCCAAAGTAACCAGGTGCACATTTGAAGTTAAAAGTGGTAAGGACACTGAGTCCAATACCACGATGTGTGGGTACCAAATCGGAAGGTGATTTTCCATAGCTTGGTGCAGCACGACTGCCGAAAGATTTCACCTTCCAGCTGTGCTCAGATGTAAAGTTAACTTCACTAGAGGGTAGGCGAAAGATTAGCACCTGTTCCTCTCCTGCAGCATGCATGACATCGAGGATGAGGGAGAAATTCTCCCGCCATAGTGCCGGAACTCGGAAAGTGATGTTGACAAGAGGTTTCTTTAACTGAGTAAGGGGGAGCGGAACTGTTTTCTTGCCAAGCACACATTCTGGTTGCTTTTCAGCATTCCACACGGGTTCATACTTATCCAGACACACCCGAATAAGAAATTGGCACTTCGCCAGACAAGCTGTAAAAGATTTGTCTGTGCTTTCAGAAACACCATCGTCACTTTGAGCGCAACATTTGTGGGCTGGAAAGTTTTCGTCAAGCTGGAATTTCTCCACTCGCATTTCGAAAATTCCTCCAGCTGAAACTTGGCTCTAAAATTTATAAAATAAGGGCAATGTTGTTTAGCGTGTTTTTTGTTGTCGTGATTGATGAAAGCAGAATGTCAGTCAAACTTAATTTAGTGTCAATTTTTTGGCCACAATTAACGTGTTTTTTTCTATTTGTTTGGTGATTAAATCAGGATGATTAAGAGGCAATTTTTGTGTGTTTAAATGCAGATGAGACTGGAGGGTTGGATTTAAAATGGCATGCAAACCAAAGGGAATATAAATGCCAGTTATGTGCATCTTTTTTACCTCCACAACTCTGAAAATCTCACTTTTCATCCACGGCGGCAGGCAACACGTGTCTCTTACTCATATCCTTACTCCTTCCACCACTTCTTTTTTTGTTTCCTTGCAGTACCACTCGAGACCTGACAACTGCGATAGAAGGCAAGCCAGCGTCAGTCGATCTTTTTTTGCCAGTCATTTAGCGGGTGATGATGATAAATTATCTTGCCAATGACAAAGCCATCAAGTTACAAAAATATGACATTTCAATTTCTAATGTAATCCTTAAAAAACAAACTCAACGACCGTCTTGGCCATAGCACCAAGCACTCTCTAAGTGACAATTAAATGTCACAGCAATATTAATTAGTGGAAAATTTGATACTCTCGTTAATTATAATTAGTTAATTAGTGAAGGTGTGTGTGGTTTTTATAATGACATTTCGAAATGATGAATTAAGCTAAAGACTTAATAAGTCAACTAGAGTATTGAATCAAATCATCTCTCCTGAAGGTGTAATAGAAGAGGAAAAATAAACACGGCTGATCAAATAATAATACACCATGATGCATAAATTGAAATATTATTGAGTTTGTTGACTTACGAGGAGAATGAAGAAGACCACTGTGAATTGGGTATTGATAGCCATGGTAGGCTGTGTAATAGTCCAAGTAGTGCCTGAGAATGGATCGGAAACAGATTAGAGAAGATTGATGGAGAGAGCGTGAGAGAGAGAAGGGAGAGAGAGAGAAAGAGGAATATCTCAAGAGGTGTTTGAAAGTTAACTGTTTACTTGCACCTCTGTCTTCCTCATATAAGCCAGTGATGGACAGCTGTGATTGGTTACTTCGGGGGGTGGAAGGGAGAGGAATGACTGATGTATGATTGTATGCGTAAAATTAGTGCGTACGTGTGTGTGTGTGTGTGCGTGTGGTGTGCGGCCGTGTGCTTATGAAAGTAGTTTCGAAACACCAAGAGACTGAGACGAGGCCACACCGATTTGTGTGCACAGATCTCGCCACCAACCTCGCTCTTCGGATAGTCTGCAAATGGCCTGTTGATGCCGCTCTTTGAATTGGGGGTGAGGTGAGAGGAAAAAAGGCTACCTCTCTTGTTCAACTAGGTGCTTCTCTCAAGGAGTCGGGGATAAAAGTGTGGGTTTTGGCGCAAGTGCGATGGGTACTTGGGTTTGTTGGATTGGGTTTCGGCATTTCCATTGACATGTGACCAATCAGAAATGAGTTACTTGTGCATTGGGATTGGCTAGGCAATCTTAATTTTGACCATCATTTTCCACAGCTAACTTCTATTGCTCAACACTAATACTATTGAATACTAGGTACTTAACTCTTAGTTATATTCATATTTACTGAGAAAGTGGGCCAAAAGCGACATTTAGCCCAGCTTTATTCCCCTGAGAAACTATGCAAGTGACTACTAATATTTAGCAATAAACGAAAGGAAGGATTATGAAGGAATGGGTATGAAGGCATGAATGATCCACCTGCCAACTTATCGTCAATTGATCGCTATTAAATTAACCTGAAATACTGAATTCATCTTCAAATTATAACTTCTCTTAGCATCTATTTTTACCTCTAGAAGTAATATGTAAATATTAAGACAATATCACTGAACAGTACGTATTCAAGGTTTGCTAGCATCGAAGCCCTACAAATTAAGAGTAGAAATTAGTGATTTAAGAAAAAAATTATTTCTAAATAGTTGTGAAAGAAGTAACCAAAGCATGGAAATACCCCCGGTCCTTATTAGGATTGAAAATAGATAGAAAATCTTCCTTGGAAATAATTAATTATTATTATTATAAATTATTTCGCATTCGAGTGCAGGTTGATTGCAAATTAAAAGACTCGTTTTTCAATTTTCAAAACGAGGACAGAAAAATTCGCTTTTCAATTGTCCTCTATTTTTTAAGTCCTCTCTACTCAAAAAATATTTGATAATAAAGTACTTTGTAGATGAAAATTACAATAAAAAACTGAGGAAATTAAAATTTGTTTAAACACTACACCTAATTAAAGGAAGTAGGAAATCTTACTGAAAAAGATAAGCAAAAAATATATCCACTTGGAGTGCAAGTTCCGGGTATTTAAGATGATGAATTTCAGTGCAACCAAAAAACCCTCTCAAGTTTGATTTACATTATATAATCAAGAACAAAAAGAATTCGTATATACCGAAATTTATAAAACTGAATAAGGCATAAATTCAATTAGATTAGAGGGAACTCTTTCGACTTTGTTTGATTAAAATAAAAGGCAAATTTTATTCCCTCACTAATTCTTGCAAGCTATTTCATCCTTCGAACGCGTGTGATTCTTTCTCCAGTCGGAAAGCGCTTTATCGATCTTCTGATTTGGCATTCTTTAAGTTAATCCCGTTTATTTCGAGTTAATGGATCTGCTATTTTTAAAGTATTATTTAAATTTAGTTATCGATTAACATAAGTTACTATTTTCAGATGCTATACAAATTAATGTGAGATACAAAAGCTTCATCATATATGCAAGAAGTCAAATAATTTAAAATGCAAAAATTGTAAGTCATAGTTTTTCATCACAAATTAAATTCTGTGCTTAATCTCAGCATTTTTAAGAAATATCGATCGGCTCCTGGAACGAGGCCACTTCATATTTCGCAACTATGACCTCAAATTTTGATACTTGCTGTGGCGTGTAACACCTAATTAGTCTTCAACGGGGTATTTATTACCTGTGACTAAGAAATGACCCGAATTTTTGTTGCCAAGGTCGCCTAAACGGCGACGATAATTTTGCCACCAAGAGTTTCATTAGAGCTAGATTCCTGGGGGAGACAAATCGATATGACTGCCAATCGATGCAATGGGGCCTTCCCACTAAAATCTAATGCGGGGGGGGGCATTTCGGTTCAACTATTAAGTCGCTCAAGGGGGGTTACATCTTATTGTGATTCGTTCTTTTTCACAAACCTAGTTTCAGGAAATAAAAGAATTACCGGGGATTTTGCAAGAACAGAAAGGGCAAAAACTTTCAAATGCTCGTCATGTTTGAAATGATTCATGGTGGGCGTCCAACTCTACTTTCAGAGTAAAAAAATAGTGTCAAAATATTTTCTGTCCTTCCTTACGAATTGTCAGTTTAAAAGTGTTAGTCATTTGAGCCAATGACAAGTCCTTCATATATGACTACTTTGGCGTTCTGCATTATCGTGATATTGAGGGAATGGATGAGATGTGCTTGCAAATCTGAAAAGCCAGAGGCCCTGGATTCAACCTAATGAACCGAATGAGCAACATCTTTATTTGAGTAGGGCTAATAAGAAGGGTGTTACAAATCGATTTTCTCTCTCCCCCCTTCTGTTTAGGCCCCGGTTGACAAGGTTAAATCATTCCAAATAAATGAAAGGGATATGAGCACATCTCAGGATTTAGCCTATAGGTTACTAATTATTAATTTTTGTGGCTAACAATGCATTCTCGATATCGGGATTTGGCTTCAGAGAAATATTGCTTATTTCGAGATCAGTAGATGAAACTCATGGTGATCTCCACTTTGATGCTTAAAAAATAAATATTTGACCATCTGATCCAATACAAAAATAGGAATTAAATGAAACCACGATAAAACAAATGGCCGAAATTCAACTAAAAGTAGCGTTGAAATCGAACACGATGAAGTTATATCTATGACTGGCTATAGTCGAGTCTACCCTGAAGATATATTGTGTAGTTTTAACCATTCAATTAAACTGGTCAACAGAGTCGGGTTACCAAGAACACGTGACCAAATCGGAAATACTAAACTTGCAAAATTAGAACTCAAAGTGGAGAGTAATAATAAGAACGGCAGGTCAGATATCGCTGGCATTGGGAGTGTTAGGATCTGATCAGTTGTCGATATCAACTAAGATATCCATCATTATTGGCATTTTTCAAATTTCGATAAAAATTGCGACACTTATTGATTAAATAACTGATAACTTAAAAATTACCGCCCTCCACCCCCCCCCCCATCCCGGTGAAGCATTCTCCGCAATGCTCTGCATTATACAGTGTCTTGGACACCGTAATGAAATTAAATCCGCATCAAATTTCCAAAAAAAACCATAAAATATGAAAAAGAAGGCTTTACTGATATCAATTAATTTCTGACTAATCTTCTCTCTCCACCAAAATGTCATCAAACAGAAAGTACATATGAGGCTGTTTTTTAGTTGCTATAAGCAACCGTAGGTGATATCACACCGAATTTTAACAACGCCTGACCAAATTATTAAATGCAAGTAATTAAACGAGTAAATGTATGAAAGCAATACTAAGCCAAATATGCATTTATATCAAATGGCAGGCATTTTGATAGTTGACTTTGGGATTCACAGAGGAAAGAACATCAAAGTAACAAAAAGTCGAAATGGGGGGGGGGAACAGAAGAGTGTTTCAAAGATGTAAAAGAGGGGGGGGGAACAGAAGAGTGTTTCAAAGATGTAAAAGAGGCAGTCACAAAGGTAGGGAAAAAAGGTAAGATGAGTACTTTGAAAGGGGTCGAATATGACACACAATGGGATGATGGTAGTTTGAAGCCAGAAGTCAACTGCCAGTTAATAGACTTTTTTGCCGTTTGAGTATACGTTGCCCAGGGTGCACCACGTGGAGGTAAGTCTATCGCACACCCCTCTAAGTCAAATATAACAGACAGGCAAAAGGAATGGGATGAAATGATGCATTAGA